ATTTCATTGAACACAAAAGCTTCAGTACATCAAACAAAACTTTTACATGTAGGGGACAACTTTTAATCCTAACTTCAACAAAACTTTACATATAGGGAATAACTTTCCCATTTTCTTCTCTAAAACCAAGTTAGATTATCAGCTCATGGGCCATATTGCTTGTCTGGACTGCAGCTTCTTCCATGACATTCTGGGGTTCTTTCATCTCCTATGTTTAATTCTTGGAGTTGATCATTTTCCTTTGCGAGAGAACATTTTGTGTTCAAAAAGTTTTTGGAGAAGATCTTCATGTATGTTGCAACTCTTTTTCAATTTGGTGACCCCTGATATCCACTCTTCTGGGGTGTTTCCTATACCAGCATTTTGAAAGGCTTGACTGACCTTCTGGAAATCTTCATGTATGGTTTCCATTTTGGTGTTCAATTTATCGTTTTCAATCTTCAAATGACGTATTTGAGCTTCAAACCTCAGCAAATCTTCTTCTCTCTGGGCGCCCCTACTGATATTCTTACCTTTGAAGACTTTTGGTATTAATCTATCAGGACCCTTAGTTACCAAACTAGGTCAATCATTTATCATAAATTGTAAGATTCCATGATCCAAAAGACTTTGGACTCGGCGTTTGAATGCAAGACGATTCTCGATGGTATGTCCTTGAGCTCCGGTATGATATTCACAATGAACGTTGATGTCATACCAATTTGGATACGGAGGTTGGAATGGTTTTATATAATATGGATCTACTTCTCGTGCTTCAAGTAACTTTTCATACAACTCTTTATATGATATGGGGATAGTATCAAGATGAGAACCACCTTTTGTCTTAGATTGAACCTGAGTTTTAGTCATTGGGAGCAGACCAAACTTTGATGATTTCTGATCACATGATTTCTTCTCATCTCTGAGAGCTTTTACAGTGGTCACCATTTCTTTGGTATTTCCAGACGATTTGTGAATACGAATGATGATTGTCTGTAATTTCTCAATTTGGTTAGGATCAGAATTCCCTTGCATATCTGAAATTGCAGGATTATCTTTATTAAGTTTTCTCTCTTTCTGTGCAGGAATCTCTTCTCTTTTGGCCAAAACAGATATTCTATCCATCATTTTGGACACCTGCTCTCTTATTTCTCGTATCTCCTTTTGCTCTTCAATGGGCATACAATCTTTGGGTGCATAGCTTTTCTCTATCTTCAGAGTTCCCTCAGGATGTTTTTTCTTGGCCGCATCAGATTTTGTTTGATCATAGAACTTTTTGTCCATTTATGATTTCTTTCTAATTTGATGAACAGTCTTTTCAGTTAACACCTTTTGGTCATGATCATGCAATGCAAACAACAGAAAATAATTTAAACAAATTAGAGCAAAAATAACATACATGGGAAAATAAGAAAAAATGAAATGGTTAATACCAACTAATTGAAAGAAAAAATTTATTTATCATGGCATATAATAAATCCTAACCTCATGCTTTCTAGTTCCATGCTTTGTTTGGAAAAATTAACCTAACCGCATGATTTCTAGTTCGCATGCATTTATTCAGGGAGAAAAATAATAATAAATTAAATAAATTAAAAGCAGAGCTTATTTCTCCTTTGTGTACACCTATGAACAGAGGTTCAGTACTGTCTTAGATTAGGTGAATTTCTAGGGTTTATTATATGCAGAATTTCAGTTCTAGGAGTAAAGGTACTCGAATTGTCCTTGTTGATGTCCCCTTGGGCTGCCAACCCTCAATCCTAGTCCATCACAGACTTAAGCGGATCGAGTTCAAGTCGAGAGGACACATTTCTCTATGCCTGACACGAAGAATAAATTCTCACGAAGACATAGAGCATATGAACCCTGAAAGTTACTTGCTAGGTCTGACACGGAGAATAAATTCTCACGAAGACGTCGCTTTCACTCCCACTTAAAAAGGACAAACTCAATTATAGAGCTTTATGTTATGCAATGCAAGTGTTGTGTGTGAGGAGAAATATTCAAATCTATAACAAACAAATAAATAATGAAATTTAAAACTTGAAAATAAAATAATAAATATAATAAATATTATGAAAATAATAAATAATAAAAAAATTGAAATAAAAGAAAAAATTAAATAAATGATTTTTTTTAATTTCTAATTAGTAGAGACAATTTATAATTGATTTTAAAAGTTTGACAACTGAATCCCCAGCAGAGTCGCCAAGCTGTCGTAACCGGTTTTCGTCCGGGCACGAAATATTTTACTTGGCGGGAAAAATGATGTGAATAAATATTTTTTTAAAATAATTTGGAGTCGCCATCGGCCTTTTGGGTCAGGTAGGTCGAATACCTAAAAATCATCTTTTAAAAGAGTTTTTAAGAAAACATCAGTTAAAAGATAAACTGATCTGCGTTTAACCAAAAATTCATTCTTTTTTTATTAATAAAAAGGGATTCGTGGTCGGTTACGTTTAGGGAAGGATTAGCACCCCTACAACGCCCAAAATTGGTACTTTTAATTATAAATTGTCTCTATTATTAAAAATTAAAAAAATTCAAAATATATTTAATTCATAATTCTATTGTTTCAAATAATTTTAAGAAAATATATTAATATACATAAATAATATATTTACTTATTTAGAAATATCAGAAAATGGCTTCTAGGTGTTTTTAAGACAGCTCTTTTCTTTAATATTTAAAAATAAATATCAAAAACCTTTTATTTTAATATAGTAAGATATTTATTTATTCAAAAATATCAGAAAAGAGCTTCTAGGTACCTTAAGACAACTTTTTTCTTTGATATTAAAAATAAATAAATATCAAAATATGATTATTTTTCTTAAAATAATTTATAAAATTAAATTTATAAATAGGAAAATAGAATAATAAATAAATATTATATATTTATAAGACTATATATATTGACATAATTAATAAAAAATAATAATAATAATAGTAATGATAATTAAATATATATGAACATAAATATATAAAGGTAACATATGATTAAATAATGTTTAAAATACAATTAAAACATGGTATGAAAAAATAAAAAATAATAAAGCTTGTAAATGAAAATATTAAACTTAGGGACTAAATTATAATCTAATAAAATTAAATACCTAATTCATAATTAATTATTTAAAATTATAGGGATTAAACATGCTATTTTCCTTATTTATTAATTTGATGACTAATTTAAAACTATATAAATTCGAATATCATATTAAAATAAATTAAAAATATATACTCGGGATTAAAATATTATTTATTAAAATTAAAGGACTAAATATGATATTTATCTTAAATATATTATTAATACGGTAAATGGCTAAAATATAAATAAATAAAATGTAGAGACCGAATTAAAAGGATCAAAAATTTGATTTAGTGACTAAAAGGTAAAGATTACAAATTAAAGGGATGGCGGACGGGATTAATCTTTTTGTTAATTACGGACATATCCCTCCCCAAAACGGCGTCGTTTGGGGAAGGCTTTAAATACCCAATCGGCCGGCCATTATATGCCATCTTCCTCATTTCTTTCTTTTTTTTTCTTTCTGTGAGAGAGAAAACTCTCTCTGCTCTCTCCAAACTCTTCCCCGGAGAGAGAGCTGACCACCGGCCGGCAACCATGATCCGCCGCAAGTTCCGCCTCCGGTGGCCGGAAATTCCCAAATTTACCTAAAATAGAGATCTAAACGCTCTAAGACCGATTCCGGTCTTTATTTTCCCTAAAAACCCTTAGATTCCTGTAGATCTAATTTTTTACCTTCGAAAAATGAGACTCCGGTGACGCTCGGGATTTCCGGTAATGAGCGAGGCTTCAAGGGTAAGTTCCTCTTCTTCTTCGTTTCTGTTTTGGTCTGGTTGTTGGTTGCTGTTCGTATCTCTCTCTTTTTTGTTCTCTCTTCGTCTGTTTTTCTGTTGTTCTTCGTTGCTCTCTGTGGGTCTTTTCTTTCTTGCAGGTGGGGTGGCTTTTATAGCCACCACCGAGGCTCTCGTTGGACCGGTTCCAGAGATGAAAGGCCGGTGAGTCACCATAGCTATGGTGGTGACTCACCATAGGGCTCAACGTGGGTAGCTTCGTGACGTTCTGGAGTGTCGGCAGCGGCGGGATGAGACACCTGGAAGAGGTGGCGCCGCGTGGTCCCTAGGGTTATAATACCCTAGGGTTTTAAGCTGGAAGCATCTGGAGACCGTTGGATCAAGGCCAGATCCAACGGTGATGAGCTAAGGCGGCTGAGAGAAGATTCTGAAAACCCTAGAAGGGTTTTGGGTCATGTTTGGGCCTGTATGTAACCGGGTTGTAAATGGGCTTTGTAATTTTTAATAAATAATATATAATAATAATAATAATAATAATAATTTTAATTTTAATAATAATAATAAGCTTAAATGAAAAAATTGATATCTACAGTATGTTTACCAGATTTCTCGCATACCTGTAATTCAAGTTTTGGTGCTATATTCCTAACCCACTGACAAATCTCCAAATTGTTACTATAACTGAAACTAATCAAATCATTCCATCCCTTTACAAAACAAATTTACTGCCACTCTATTTCTTCCGTAGATAATATAGGAGAACACTCTTTCCACTTGAAAACCAATCTGCAAAATGTTGTCAACTAGCTCATCTAAAACCACAATTTACATGAACAGCAAATATATCATCCTAAAGACTGTCCACAGATGAATCGACCTAATTATCATGAGGGCAAGGCTTGATTGTGTCATTAGCGCATTGATTAGTGCAGTTAATGCATTTCATCTCCTAAAAGTCATAGGGTATCCACCATAGGGTAACGTACTTATCTCCATCATTCAAGATGATTAATAGGGTAACGTACATGTCATAATCACTATATTAACTTTGAACGTTGTGCACAACAACCGATAGGAGAGTAAACTATAATTCATGTCCTGGAATGCTCTTAGTGACAAAATATATATGATGCATGTCAAATTATATTTGTATCATTTTGAAAGAAAATGAAAAAAAGATGAAAATAATAACCACTGACCGGAGAACGCTGGTATTGTCCACAGGGCCCTTGTCTAAATCTTGTTCTAGAGATACAAGTATACCCCCTATAGAAAAGAATGCAATTTGGAGTCAAGTCAGTAAATGAAAAATCATTTCATTCAAATCAAGCATTGGCAAGAACCCGCAACAAAATACCATTCTAAGAAAAGCAAAATGGCCTGCTTATAAACTACAAGGGAGTCTCATTTTTCTTATTAAGAACAAGCTCTAAATATTTATAATGTCAATTTCCCATAGAATCAAACCGTAACAAATGAACACAAATTGAGAGTAGTAACAAACCTCTGCATAGTTCTTTGGCAATCCAAAATCCAACTCTAGAAAGCCTAGGAATTAACATAGTTTGATGTTGTAAAACAGAACCCTGTTTAAAGGAGAAAACATAAATATGCTTAGAAACTTGAGAAACATCAAACTGTTAACAAATATATGAAATATCCAATTCCAAGAGAACTAGCTTTTGAAGCTAATCAGTCAATAAAGTTCAACTGAGTATTCAGCAATCAGGTAAGATGCTGCTTATTCATACCGATGCACACTTAAATATCCAGAAAGCTGAAATAACGATAAGTTCAATCGAGAAACGAACTTCAGAAAAAAAATATATATACATTTTTTACAAGGAGATGAACAGAGGAAATTGGAACCAAGTTTGGGCCAATCGAAGTAGGATTTTAGTACGAGTGATCCAACTGGGTCTTTCGAGTAAATAATATGCGCCGCAGAGAGAGACGAGAATTCAAGGAAGAAAGAAGAGAGTTTGAGAGCAAACCAACCATAGCAAAACTGAAAACGACTGTGTGGAGGAAAAACGACTTGGAGATGCGGGGGATCGAACCCCGTGCCTCTCGCATGCAAAGCGAGCGCTCTACCATTTGAGCTACATCCCCTCGTTTCTATTTTTATAATATATAATATATATAAATCATTTAATTTTTACTGTTTACGTATATGTTTATTTAATTATTTAGTCTGCCATAAACATGTTTATAACCTGAAGTAAAACATGACAAAATGGATAAGATAATATGTTGGAAAAGAAAATGTTCACACAGTGTATCTTGAGAATTTTTTTTTTGGATACGGATGAATGTTATAGCATAATGGAAAGACATATGGAGCATTATGTGTTTTTAGCTTGATTGTGGTTCGTGGAAGACACATGGCTTGTAAAGTGTCTTCAACTTTTTCAAACATGACGCATGGAAACGTAAAACAAAGGAAAAATGACAGGTCATGTGGACGTATTGTGATCCATGCGTCTTTCTTAAAAAAATTGAAGACATTGTGTTCTCAACATCTTCAAGTGGCACTGTAACAAATACCCTACTTCAACAAACAATTCGCGAGGGATGCTACATGATAATTTTTTTTCCACAATGTTAAATTATTTAATGAAAAATCAATCGATAAATTATAGGATAATGCATATTCAAAATCTTTTACGTTACAACAACAATGATATCAATCGAATTAAGATTGAATAAATAAAATATATAATATATTAACTTCAAAGGTAATATTTTCGTTAATTAAAATATTTAATTATTACATTATTAGTCGTTTAGACTTCTAGTTGATTTTAATTAGAAAAGATAATTTAAATTTGTGATATTTTAGATCATTTAAATTTAACAGTCTTAACTTATACTTTATGTTCAAGTGATTTATGGTTAAGACCATTTAAGTTTAATACTTAACTAATTTGATTCTAGTTCATTACCTTTTGAATCAAATAAGATCAATCTGAAGTAACTAATTGCTAGAGTATTATTTAATTAAAGATTAATAATATTAAAAATGATATGTTAATATTGTAAATAGTATTTAAAATAGTATTGTATTAAATTCAAAACATACAAACATTGCTCTAAACTACTTAAAAAATATTGAGAGAAAGAGAAATGGCAGTTTTCTCTCACGGCCCTCTGCATGGCGGCGGGTGACACAGTCACTGGTCGAGTATTTTCTGTTCCGGTACAGGTTCACGTTGCGGTTTTTTCCATTGGTCACCTTGAGGCTGTCCGTTCTGACAGTCTCTTTATCATATATTTCCGGATCATTTCTGTAGATTATTCGGCTTTACGTTCTACGGTATATGCAACTGGCGCCTGTAGTTCTTTCTCTTTTTGCATTACTGCCTTGTCTTCCAGTAATTATTGTTCTTCCATTCTGGTTGCTTTCTTCATGTTGGTTGAGCTGTACAAAATTCCTTGGTCAGTTGGGATTGATGTATGGGTTGCATGTGCCATGCACAAGTCATGGGTGGTTACAATACGGTTCCAGTATTCACTTTGCATAACTTCCTCCTTTCCGTTCATACATAGTCCAGTGGTTACAAGGGCGGTTCTCTGGATTTTTTTGCTTTGGTAGTCGGCTTCTTTTGGAGATTATGGCGGAGGAAGTTGAGAAACTATTTGCTGGTCTGAATTTCACGTCTGACGAAACAACAGATATTCCTCTCCCGGGTGATCCCACAGACCTCCCTCCCAGTGTGATTGCCCACTGGTTGATTGGTCGGGTTTTGGCCGAACTCCCTTGATGTGGATGCTCTTATGCGTGTCTTCCGCGCTATCTGGGGAACAAACCGATTGGTTGACGTATCTTCTCTGGGTGATTCCACTTTCCTGTTCAAATTGTCGTCTAACTCTGCAGTGGAATTTGTAACCTCTAGGGCACCATGGACTTTTAATGGGGATTTGGTTGCGTTACATCGTTATGACCCGTCTCGTGGACTTGGCGAGTATGATTTTCATTCTCTGTCTATTTGGGTTCGTATATATGATTTACCTTTGGGCTGGATGAATGCACGGGTGGGCGCTTCGATTGCTAATCGGCTTGTTGAAGCGGTAGCCGTGGATCTTCGTACTGGTGCGGGTCGTCTGGGATCATATCTTCGTATTCGGGTGAATATTGATATCCGCAAGCCTTTGCGACGATGTGTATCGCTGGGTACCCGTCCTAATGGGAAGCCACGACTGTGCATTCTGAAATATGAACGGCTACCAACTTTCTCCTTTCGGTGTGGTATAGTGGGTCATTTGTATTCTACATGCACTCTCCCAGGTTCAACGGCTACGGATAAAATAGAATATGGGGAATGGTTACGTGTTTCGCTCCCTGGAGCATCTGGTTCTACTGTTCGTGACAGGCCTTGCATTGTCTCCCTACTACCATCATCATCTGTTTTGCCAGTTACCTGTGATTCTAATCCTGACAATTCTGTATCGGGTACCCTCCACTAGTCTTCTTCATCCACTTCTCGGGCTTCCAAGCGACTTCCACCGTGTCAACCTGACACTACTTTAATTTCTGCTCTTAAGAAGGCACGCTCTCGACCTCCTCTTCCTGTGGTGGCTTCTACACCTAATGATTTGGCGGCGACTGGTGACCAGCCCCGCCAGGGATTATGAATATCATTTGTTGGAACTGTCGGGGGCTTGGGAACCCCCAGACAGTCCGATCACTAGAGCTTCTGGTAGCTCGGAAAGGACCCGCCCTCTTATTCCTTTGTGAAAGTCGTCTTCGTCACCACCGTTTTGACTACTTGAAGCATCGTTTGGGGATGGAGGGTTGCTTATATGTTGATAGTAGTTCTAATTGTTCTGGTTTATTGTTATTTTGGGATTCGTCTATTACTGTTACTTTCCTCTCCTTTTCGGACTTGCATATTGATGTTGTTGTCGAGTGTGGTTCTGATAAGTTCCGCTTTACAGGATTATACGGTCATAGTGATCGGGATTGCCACTCTGAGACTTGGGCTCTTATTGATCGTCTTCACCATTCCTCTCATCTTCCATGACTAGTAGGTGGAGATTTTAATGAAATTTTACTTGATTAAGAGAAAGCCGGTGGACGTATGCGATTACGTGGTGATATGGAGGCCTTCCGTGTTGGAAATAAAACACTCACACAAACAACTTTTATTTAAACTCAAACAAATATTACAAGAGCACTCTCACTCAAAAACAAGAACTACAACTCACTCTTATAAGACTTTGCTTTTTCACTCACTTAGAAGCTCTTAATTTTTCTTGATGCTTAAAACTAAAATGGGAAGGGGTATTTATACTACTCAAGAACAATCTTACACCACACAAATAAACTAATTTAAACCATTACAAATTCAACAAATATCTAACTCTCACCTAACTAAATTGATGACATCATTACTTAAATGATGTAAGCAATGACATCTTTAATTAAATGATGTAAGTAATGACATCAATTTAGTTTGGGTTTGGGTTTAGGCTCCCATAATGGATCAAGTTTATGATCCAACACCCCCCCTTAAACTTGATCTCGTGACCCCTAGTAGGTTCCTTAATCTTAAGAAGTCTTCGCTGGTCAGTGGCTTGGTAAAAATATCAACAACTTGATCTTTTGACTTCACGTATTCAACTTCCATATCTTTTCTTGCAACACACTCCCTTATATAGTGGTAGCGAATATCAATGTGCTTGCTTCGATCATGGAATACTGGATTCTTCGCTAAGGCAATGACTGACTTGTTGTCGACACAAACCTTGGTAGGCTCTTCTTGTATCAAACCAATCTCATTCAATAGATTTCGAAGCCAAATTGCATGACAAACACATGAGGTAGCAGCAACATATTCCGCTTCACAAGTGGACAATGTGACAATCGGTTGTTTCTTTGACATCCATGTGAACGCAATATCTCCCATGAAAAATACGAATCCAGTAGTGCTCCTTCGATTATCTATGTCTCCACCCCAATCACTGTCGCTATATCCAACAAGCTTGTAATAATTAGAAACTGAATAGAACAAGCCAAAGTCAATTGTACCTTTCAGATAGCGAAGAATTCTCTTTGCGGCTTTAAAATGGGTGGTTGTTGGAGATTCCATGTAGCGACTAACCAATCCAACTGCGTGAAGAATATCGGGTCTCGTGCAAGTTAGATAGCGTAGACTTCCTACCAAACTTTTGAAGAATGTTGGATCTACACTTTCGCCTTCTTCATGTTTGGTCATCTTGATCCCGTATTCTGCCGGTGTGCTTATTGGCTTACAGTTCTCCATCTTGAACTTCTTCAGTATCTCCTTTGCATAGCTTTCATGTGAAATGAAAATTCCATCATTTTGTTGCTTAACTTCAATGCCAAGGTAGTACGCCATGAGCCCCATGTCTGTCATCTCGAATTCTTTCATCATCGTATCCTTGAATTCATTAAACATGCTTGGGTTACTTCCAGTGAAGATCAAATCGTCCACGTAGAGGCACACGATCAAAATATCTCCATCTTTGATCTTGATATATAGAGCATGCTCGTAGGGACATTTGTTGAAGCCATTCTCTTGGAAGTACTTGTCGATTCGGCTATTCCATGCCCTTGGTGCTTGTTTTAGCCCGTAAAGAGCCTTCTTCAACACCAACACCTTGTCTTCGTGCCCTTTGACTTCATAGCCTGATGGTTGCTGAATGTAAACTTCCTCTTCAAGAACTCCATTTAGGAAGGCAAACTTTACATCCATTTGTTGTATCTTCCACTTGTTTTGAGCTGCCAAAGAAATGATTAGTCTGATAGTCTCCAATCGAGCAACAGTAGCAAATACCTCATCATAGTCAATTCCAGCCTTTTGACTATAGCCTTTAGCAACTAGCCTCGCCTTGTGCCTTTCAATCTCTCCTTTGGCATTTTGCTTTGTTTTGTACACCCATTTGACACCTATCGCCTTATGTCCCTTGGGAAGTGAGGTAAGTTCCCATGTGTCATTCTTCTCGATGGCCTTGATTTCTTCGTCCATCGCATCTCTCCATTTCTTTTCTTGTACCGCTTCTTGAAAGCTCACTGGTTCACAATCGGCAAACAGACAAAATAATGTAAGATTATCTTGTCGTTCAGTTACCTC